TATGTTTTTTTCAAACTATAGTCCGGCCCCCCAACATTCTGAGGGACTGTGAACTGGCCCCCTGTTTAAAAAGTTTGAGGACCCCTGGTGTATACCAATATAAAGGACAATAACGAATAAGACTGACTTTCTGTAATTTATTAAACAACAGGTGTTGATGGCTCCTCAGCCCGTTCCAGTCCTCTGGAAAAGTAAGTTTTTTTCCCAGCTTCTGAAGGCCATCTTTGAGCCGGAGCAGGCTGTTCCACAGGAAGGGAGCTCCCACAGAAAGCACCTGGTTTGGATCACCTGGTTGGATCACCTCCTGGCAGGTGGGCAATCTCAGTAGGTCCTAGTGGAGCTCCTGCAGCACTGATGGAATGTGGCAGTACTGAGACTGACCAGAAAGCATGTAGACTGCTACATTCTGGACCAACTGAAGTTTCTGGATAATCCCTGTCTTATGGAGCTCTCTGTAATTGCTGCTCAACCACTGTCTTAACCTTCCTCAAAAAAGGATGTGTTGGAGATTGGCTGGTAGTTGTGCAATTTTGTTGAAACCAGGCCTGGCTTCTTGAGGAGTGGGCTGACAAGAGCCTCTTTCAAGGCTCCCAGAACTGTCCTTTCCCTCAAAGAAGCATTAACCAACCAGGTGGGGTAGGGGGAAGTGCAGAACTGGCAGAACTAAGATTATAGAGAACTCTGTTCACCTCCTTGAGTTCTAAAGGCTCAAAAAACATCCTGGGTAACATTGCAACACGTCACCTCTGTCATATCAGTGGACTTTGTCCATCTAGCTTTCAGTTTGTAGCAAATGCAAGCAATCCTAGCCATAAAATGCTTGGCCAGATGATTACAGTTATACTAATTCATTCTTCTGGCCTGCCCTTCCCTAACAAGATCCAAGATGTTCTAAATAGTGGAGCTGCCTGACACTCCATAGATGCAATAAACATGGAAAAGTAGCAAGGCTCTACTATGAGCTCATAGCCATATCCCGTCATGCTTGCTTCTCATTTTCTGCCAGCATTTCTCCAGGCATCTGAAGGTCCTCAGAGAACCAAGGACCTGTACCGGATCAGCGGACAGGTAGAGGCTGCTCAGGAGTGATCCTGTCTAATGCCCTGATCAATTTGTATTCCGGAGGCTAATACAGTACTCCCAATTTTGGGGGGGATGGGGAATGCCCAGGAACTATCTGAAAACCCTTTGGATCTAATGAGATGGGGTGGGCCATCTTAATCAGCCCTTCCTCTGCAAAGGCTATTGGCTCCAGCTAACCCCATCTAAGGAAGCAATCCATCCATGATAAGGTACTGATGAAAATCTCTTACAGAACCAGATCTGTTCTGTTCCAGTAGAAATTACAAAATTGGAAGAGGCCAGTAGTGAACAGGATTGCGTCTGTAAGGTATAAGGCTGAAGGTCTCAAATGTCCTTTCTCATAAACTGTCTGGGTCTTTTCCCTGGTGCCATCTTCTCTTCTGGCTAATGGCTTGGTAGTTCTCACTGGCACCATGTTTCTTTCAATGTGGCACCTCCCCTGGGATCCTTCTTCCAACTCTTGTGTGAGAAAAATATCTTGTAGCCTTTCTGATGAATAAAAAGGCAATAATGAAATAACTGCTATAGTGTTGCCTCCTGGTTACATAATACTGAAGTATGTGGCAGACATTTCAGCCCTTCCGTGGGAGACATAACAGAGATAAACAAAAATCAATCTTTTATTTTAAAAATGATAAGAACTGTAATTTCTTTTTAATGTTAGATATTAAAATGCCAACATTTTGAAAGAGGTAAATACAGAGGTGTTCAAATCATTGGACAGCAACAACTTTAAAAGGGAATTACAAGAATGGTACTACTATATTATAATTCCACCAGGCTCTGAGTTTTACTAAGCTCAGAGAATTTTCTAGGGGAAAAAAAATGATCTTAACACAACCTGCTATACACATAAAAGACTGAATTAGTGAACTTGGGCAAAGATATAAATAATATTCAACTTAAACATACACAGACAGAATAAATTAACAATTAGTGCAGTTTCAGCTTAAACATTTACTTTTTGCTTAGATATATTCACAATCCTAAAACAAAGTCCTCTGCTTTGTTTTCCTCTGGACCTTCTCCAGCCTCTGAGGATAATTCCAAGCTTTTATCAGAACTCTTGTAGCAGCTTTCACCATTTCCCTGTTTTTGAAAGAACAAGGCTTTTTCCTAGCAGGGAGAAGAAGGGGCAGGAACGTATGCTTTTTCTTTATGTGGCAGAAGTCATGCCTACCCTAGTATCGATTCTGCTTGAGATGGGAAGTCAGCTGTCATTCTTATGAATCCAGGCAATAGATCTATTTAGACTATTTAGTCTAACCCTTTGTTCAGTGTGGGAGTTCAAACGAAAGCATCCCCTGCTTTGACACCTCCAGAGAAAGGAAGTGTCCATTCCTCCTCCTCCTCCTCCTCCTCCTCCTTCTCCTTCTATGTCCTTTTCCTCTTCCCCTTCCCCTTCT